CCTGTAGATGAGTGTAAACTGCAGAGTCCTGACCTGTAGATGAGTGTAAACTGCAGAGTCCTGACCTGATGAAGTAGCTCGTCTGTGCTGGTTCATTCTTTTGAACAGTGGCTGTTTTGTTTCCTCAGTGTATAACTGATCACAGTCCTCCTGACACTAAACAGCATACACTATATTACTCTGTTTTTGCCGGGGAACTGGATCTTTGGGGTGAACTAATCTTTGTTGTAATGTGTTTTGGGGTTTGAAAGTCACTGGGACGTCATGTTTAGAGAATAAACGTCTCAGTTTCTCTGAAACTCCAGCCACATATGGAATGACGACAGGTTTGGGTCTGGGTTTAGGGTCTTCATTTTCAGCTGGTTGTTGTTGGAATCCTGTTTGGGTTTCTTGTCTGCTTTTAGAAAAGCCCAGTTATGATAACCGCACTGCTCCAGGGCCTGTCTAACTAAATAATGAAAACTGAAATTGAAAAATGTTTTAGTTAACTAAAATAAATAAAAAACGTAATGAAATGAAAAAAAAAACAACTAACTAAAACTGTATAATCTTTTTACAAAACTAACTAAAACTAACTGAAATCATAGATAGAATATCCTTAGTTTTAGAGTTTGCCATTTATTTTGAGCCATATGGATCTTTTTTTAAATTCATTTTTTAATTGAGTAGTTTCACATTAGCTGTGGTCTGTAACAACACTTGTTTACAGTCTGCTGCTCAGCATCGTCTACCAAATGACAACAACAAAAGTTGGGAGAAAACAGCAACGTCCACTTTAGGATTTCTTTGAATCTGACTGAGACAAATCAAATCAAATGTCTTGTAGTGGAAACAGGTGATAAAACTGGTGGAATACTTCTCAAAGGAAAAACTGCATGAATCAAACTCACACAAGATGCTAACTATGACTATCTGACATGCTAGCTTCTCTCAGTAGCTCCATGAAAAACAAACAGCAGGTAGCAGCAGGTTGGAGACAACTATTGTCATCGTCCTAAAATAATCACCCAAGTGTTTAGTTGGCAAAACTGAATTACGCAATTATTTTAGGAAAGTCAGAGTTGTAAAGTAACTAAGTACAAATACTTTGTTACTGTACTTCAGTAGAAATTTTGGTTATCTGTACTTTACTTGAGTAATTATTTTTCAGCATACTTTTTACTTTTACTCATTACATTTTTACACAATTATCTGTACTTTCTACTCACTACGTTTTTAAAAAGGTAAGAAGTAGAAAGTTGTTACTCCTGTTTTATTCCGAGTTGTTATTAGTTAAAAAAAAATACTATCCTGATAAATTGTGTCTCCTGGATAGAGTGAATTTAACTGCGTTTGCATGAGAAGTATAAATATTTACCATTCTGACACACTATTAACTTGTACACAACCCATCACAGCTGCACGCTGTTAGAAAATATATTTTTTGGAGAAGTCACCTCCCAATAAATGTCATTTTGTAAAATCTAACTGCTCACTTTTACTCAGTACTTTTACTTTTAATACTTAAGTAGATTTTGTGTCAGAAATTTACTTTTGATACTTAAGTACAAAAAATATCAGATACTTTAAGACTTTTACTCAAGTAATATTTTTAGAGAAGACTTTAACATTTACCAAAGTATTTTTATGATAAGATACTTGTACTTTTACTCAAGTATCACTTTGAGGTACTTTATATAACACTGAGGAAGTTGTCTCTATAATTTAGGGTTTAACTAGTGACCAAATATCTGCTGCTTAGTTAACTCACAGGAACATCACAAGCTGGAGGATGAACTGGCAAATATGTTTATTCAATCTAAAAAAAACCTATTAGAACTAATAAAAACTAAACTAAACCAAATCTAAGCATTAAAAATGCAATAACAACTGGACATGGGTTTTTACGATGTAAAAACAAGTGTGCATTGCCATGTAGCATGTCATTGCAGCATGACTTTGCCTGCAGCATTGGACTTGCAGAATGAACTTTGACCAAGTTCAAATGTGTTTTCTATACCAGCTTGTGCCTGTCACGTCAACAGGTGTTTGTAATTAAGGTAATTGTGTGACAATATGAAATTTGAAGAGATTTTTTGTTAAAGTTGCATTAGCTGGGTTTTGATCCCTGATCTCCCACATGAAAGTCCATGACATAGACCATTAGACCAATGGCAGAAGATGGTGGCAGGGGTTGGTTTGTATGTGTGCAGAAAGAGGCCACATTGCCAATACAATTATTGACACAAAAATCCATAATATTACAACAACAGAGCAGTATTAAGACAATATTATAGTAAAACATCAAAATACAATCATATTAGTACTGTAAACACTGAACTACTGACTTGAAATATTAAACTATGGTGCAGTACCAAGTTGAGTACAGCATGGGGCAGTATTGGACCTATACGAGGCTCCGTTGACTGCATTAATATTTCATAAATTATAAGTTTTACAGGCACCAAAAGGCATAGCCATCATTTGGCACAGGGGCTTTACAGATATAAATTACAATGACAGCTCTAGGACAAAGTATGCAGGAGGAGAAGCATGCCAAAAATGAGATGACTTGGATGGGAAACGAATCACAATAGACGAGTAAAAATGATCAAATCCACTGTAAAAACGAATTAAAACTAACTGAATTAAAAGAAAAAAGTCAAAATGAAATAAAACTAAACTATAATGAAAAATCCAAACTATTATAACCTTGTTTGGGCGTCGAGTTGGTGCCGTCCTCAAACTCAAAGCTTTTATTTCTTTATTTCAGGTTCAAACTTTGTGACTCGTAAGATCAGCCGCTCCGTGGCGAAGATCCACCTGGGCCAACTGGASAGCTTCAGCCTGGGCAACTTGGACTCCAAGAGGGACTGGGGCCACGCCAAAGACTACGTGGAGGTAAAGAAACCAAAATAAAAAAAGTCATTATCACACACAGCCACACAAACGGCCCCATGCTCTGCTTCAAAGCTGAACAGCGTTCATATATACAGCGAGCATTAACGGGCCGTGTTTTCCCACATCGTTTGAGGCAGTAATATGTGATCTGCGTGAAGCCTCCTGTGATTCTCTGCCAAAAGAGATGAGGAGATACAGACAGAAAGAGGCAGTGGGAGGAGGAGGAGAGGGCTGCCTGCTGYGAGGCCACAAACTGCACTCTGGTTTCCCACAACTCACCCACGTCCCACATCCCTGCAGGCCCCCAGCGCCATTCCTCTGATGGCTGCAGAAGAAAGAGAAACTATGAGGAGAACGCCGCGGCCCGAGGACGATAACAGAAATACTGTTTGTGTCGAGGTGGCGGTGCCAGCAGTGAGCTGGACACAGCAGGGGTCACGTGAACATGATGAGTCAAGGTTGTCGGAGATAAAAGTCCCCGTGGGTTGCCGTGTCTCGCCGCGCACCGTGTTGCTGTTAGGAGGCGGCGGCGCACGTGTTGGATGTGGGTTCTGAGACGTGGGGTCGGGGGTGAGGAGGTCGGTGCTTGGGTTTAACAGCAGAGCGCAGTGTGGGGTCAGAGCTGCTGGTTCATTCTGMTCAAGAGGATTAACAGTGTCAGGAAAACATCAGTCACTTGGATCACAGTTAAGGTTGTTCATCAGTCATGTATGGAGGACGGACACTAACAACAATTAACAATGTAAAGAAAGAAGCAGCAATCAGGAATTTAATCAAAAATACTCGATTTGTCAGCAATTTTTAGATTTTTATATAAATATTTGAGGTTGGTAATTAGAGCTGGGCGGTATGACCAAAATGTTATATCACGGTATTTTCAACATTTACACTGGTTTCACAGTATTTTTCTTTT